ATATATATATATACTCATGCCTATACTCATATACGTTAAGATTGATGCGCCTGTTGATACTTCATACACTAAGCAAGTATTTACTACTAAGTACAATAGGCTAAAAATCTGTTCTTGAATTGTCAATACACTCGTGCGTCGTCAACGAGCATTGCGTCTGGTAGGAAAGGGAGTGAAGTTTTTTTCTTCCAATTCCTCTATATTAATAATCGAGACAAAACAACAACAGTATACAAACAAAATTGCAAGTCAGAGTTCCCGTAGGATTCTGCACTATCTATGGATCAAAGTACGAATTATTTTTGATAAAGAAGAATAGTATCTTGATAGCAGGTCGTAAATTTGAACTCACTTCACAAAGCATTAGATACGTATCGCTTCTATCGGAAAACTTAAACATGTATGCCAGTTGATGGCAACGCAGCAGTACAGTATGTACACACCGTTTGTTTGTAGAACTTCATAGCGCGTGGCTTGCCGTAGTTGTTAAAGATCATGATGTTCAGAATCATCTTTGCCGTTTTTAGGAGTGCTTTATGTTCCGGTACAATGGCGGTGTAGCAGCTATCTCGTCGCACACACTGTTTATTCGGGACAAAATATATGCAGCGCAAGGCTTTATGGAACAAATTGTACCAGTATTCCGTGATCCGTAGTTTTTACGGAACGTATGTCATAGCCGCTCTCGACACAATGATAGAGAGGCTATAGAGCCCTCTGAATTATAAATCTCATCAAAACTCTAAACCCAAAAGCACAACCTCTTTTATATTCTGATTCCTTTCTAAAAAATACCGACAAAAATACTGAACCCTGTTCTAAAAATAGTCATTAGGTAGTAAATAATAGTAATGATTATGAAAAGAGTTCTGATTGATCCGTGGCCAAAGCAGACCAATCATATTCGCTGTATCATTGCCTCCAATTTAATCCGTGATATCGCCACAGATAGATTGAGATTACAGGATCGAGCAGACGAGCGCCAGAGTGGACAACTGGGTACACATCAGCATGCATTTACTGTACTACTGGGCTGGCTGCCCATGTACCATATGTATGCATATGACACGCTTGAGTTCCTCTTTAAACCTAATCATACTGCCTTATCAGTATATTGTTTGCTATCATCAGGTACTTTTTTATACTCGCAGTGATAGGTTCTTCTTTCTCTTCGTTCAACACACGCGAGACAACATGGTGGGATTTGGCCCGCAGTCAGGCACACTCAGCCTTACCGTTATAGAAGGCAAAGACCTTCCAGCAGCCGACAGGAACGGGTTTTCAGACCCCTTTGTGACCATTTCTGTGAATAACAAACTATTAGAAGACGTTAAGTCAGAGAGGATTAAACGAACACTAAATCCAGTTTGGAATTGGAGCCAAGATATTGCGCTCGAAGACTGCACCCAGGTGTCCATCACTGTGTGGGATTGGGACCGACTGGGTAAAAACGATAAACTCGGAATGATTGCTCTAACATGCCCGCTAAAAAAGCTTGTGGTATGTTACTAGTTTGCTGAATACGTTCGTGTTGTGTTAACGGAATGTGTGTTGTTGGTACTTGCTTGTTTCGTGAGCCTGTATATGCATGGTATGCAGGCCACCTATCCGCGCCCTGCACAGATTCGTAGTTATTTACCCTAGCACAATGTTGAAGTGTGACTTATTGATCATCTCGTACACGCTGTCTTTGTTAGATATGACTACCTGTATATCGATATACATATTTACTCGAGCGCTGATATTATCTAAAGTTTATACTTTGAAAAAAAAACAGCAAAAACAATATAGTTTATGCTTAAAATACAAGTACAAACGATGCACACGCCACCGCAAGTATACAAACATTCGTATCATATATCTCGCGCATACACACTTATATGTTCTTA